GAACCTAATAAACCCTGGGTAAGTTTACCACTTCAAGTAAGCAAGGATGTCAAGCTAATATGGCTCGTGCTCCGTCTCACCTGACCCCTCGGGTGCGGGCTATGTCTCGTCCGACCCTAAGGACGTGGGTTTCGTCTCGTCTGACGGGGACCCATGCCGCCACCAACTACTCCAGGTCCAAGCGTATGGGCCTGGGTCAAAACTCTAACACCAGGAAAGAGACTGGCACGCCTCGATGTAACCCATGGCCATGATGGCCCATACCTGAGGATTCACATCAAGAATAGTGTTGGGCGTGCTGGTGCTGTTCTACCTAACCATCGTACGAACACGGACAGGTGCGTTAGTTCACCACGACGTATGCCGGGACGGAATGGAATGCCATGACCGGCAGATGACGCCAGCGCATGGCACTAGTGATGAACAGGGCCACGACGTGGAGCCATCACTATTGACATCTATAGGATCGGTGGGACCCGCATGAAGGAGAAGAAGGACCCGACGATCCTAGAAGCCTTCTTCTCTCTATTGTTCTTCTCCTTTTCCTCCACTGTAACCCGCGCTTTCTCTTCGTCTATAAAAGGGGAAGCAGGGCGCCCCATGAAAGGGACCGAATGACGAGATCAAAACATAAGAGCATGACACGAGCACACGGCTGAGCGGCAATTGAGCTCTCAGCACCCGTTCACTCCTTCCACCAGAGACTTGGGATCCTCTCCCTCTCTCGCCTGTTTGTAACCCCTACTGCAAACCAAGTATCGGTAACACAAGCAGCAGTGAACTGGACGTAGGGACGTTCCGTTCGAACCAGTATAAACCCTTGTGTCCTCCAAGCACACCATCTGAGCCAAACGCGTAAATACAAATTCACTCGTCGGTGGTCCGAAAACAGCGACACAAGCATTAATGGAATATTTTGAATTATGGGATTTATTAGAATGAGTGGTATTACAGGAGGGGATCCCTGATACACTACTACACAAAAGATTATGCGCAGCGTTGCATTTTTGGACTCCGTGGCGGTCACCTATTTTCACCCGCTGCGGTAAATGCCACGATTTACCGCGGCGGGCATTTTTTATTTACCGTGGCGGGCACTTTTGCCCGTCACGGTAAATCGATTTACCGTAGCGGGAGTCTTAAGATGCCCGCCACGGAAAATATATATTTTCCGTGGCGGACGTGTTAAGACATCCGCCACGGTAAATGGCCGATGCCCAACAGGCCCAGGGCGAGGCCCAATAACTGGTCTCCATATAAAATGAGCACTTTAGGAGTTTAGGGTTTCAGTTCACTCACTCCTCTCCACCAATAGCGCCGCAGTCACTCCTCTCCTATCGCGAGCCTCTCTCCTCCCGTCTCCTCCCGTCACCATCTCCTTCCACTGCATATCCACCAGCACGGCACTCTCCCTCCCTCTCTTCTCTCCCACCGATCCCTCCCTCTCCCTCCTCTCTCTCTTCCGATCCTCTAGCACGGGGCGCAGGGCATTGAGCGCGGTGGCTCATGGGACGGCAACGATGAGCCCGTCCTGAGGTGGATCTGGCCGGTGGCGGCGCGCGGTGACCGGATCCGACCGGTGACGGCGTCCTGAGGCGGATCCGATCGGTGGCGGCGCGCGGTGGCCGGATCCGGCGGGCGAGGACGGTTCAGCGCGGCGGCCTCCCTCCACCACGGCCACGACGCCGGGATCCACCACGGCCACGACATCGGGACCTCCACCACGGCGGGCGAGGACGCGTCGGTGCGGTGGCCTCCCTCCATAACGGCGGGATCTCCCCCACGGCCACGACGCCAGGATCCACCACGGCCACGACGCTGGGACCTCCACCACCGCGGGCGAGGACGCGTCGGCGTGGCGGCCTCCCTCCACCACGGCGCGGCGGGATCCGCAAGGAGGCACGGGGATCTGCGAGGAGGCGTCGGCGTGGTCCCCTGCGAGCGACTGGCGAGGTGGTGGCGGCCCTGCAGTGGCGTCGGCGTGTCCAGTCGACTTCTCCAGAGACGCTGGGGCCTGGCCGGCTGCTCCTCTTCTCCCTCCCCGAGCGGCACGGATCTGCAGCCGTGGGAAGCCCGGATCCGTCGCCGGTGGGCTCGCCAGTGGGCTCGAGAACTGGCTCGCCGGCGGGCTCCTGGTTTTTTTTTGTTTTTTTAAATGATTAACCGCAGCGGGTATCCTAACTAGCCCGCCGTGGTAAAAGTATATTTACCACGGCGGGCATGTTACACCGCCCGCCGCAGTAAATCGGTTAACCGCGACGGGCAAGGCCGCCCGCCGCGGTTAAGCCACGATTTACCGTGGCCTCTAGGCCACGGCGGATGGCTTTGCCCGCCGTGGAAAACCGAAAACGCCCGCCTCCAGTAAAGTTTGTGTAGTAGTGATAGACATATTTGGAGGTGAAGAATATACAGCCAAATCCATCTATGATGCACTATTTGAAGGGTGCCCTCAGTTTTGCCCCATATGAGCACATCTGGAAATCTTAGGCACCCCCTAAATGTCACTTCTTCATGTGGCTGGTTGCTCACAATCGCTGTTGGACAGCAGACAGGTTAGCTCAGCGAGGTCTTCCTCACCCGGACCGGTGTCCACTATGTGATCAAGAGGAAGAGAACATCCAGCACCTCCTCTTTGGATGTGTGTTTGCAAGACAATTCTGGTATGACATCCTACATAGCATCGGTCTTGCAACACTTGCCCCGTAGCCAGTCGATTCCTCCTTTGATGCCTGGTGGGATAAGGCGGTCTTGACAATAAGCGGAGATGCGCGAAAGTGATTGAATTCCCTCATCATCCTAGGTGCCTGGACCATCTGGAAGCATTGAAATGACTATGTCTTCAATGGAGCTACCCCTAGACTATCTACGGCTTTGAACCTGGCTCGGGAGGAAGCCCTTTTATGGTCTATAGCTGGTGCTAAGGGACTGTCCCTGCACACAGCTCAGGATGATGGTTAGAGGGTCTTTAGTCAGGTTGTTCATCTCTGTCATAGGCGATTAGTTTTAGTCAATAAGCGGGTGTGTGTGTGTGTGTTTGGGTCTCTGTATGACTCCTTTTCTCTACTATTAATACAATGATACGTAGTTCTCCCGCGTATTCGAGAGAAAAAATTGTTCAAATGTAAAGGAGAAGGTTTAAGAACACGGCGATGTTTTCCCAAGGTATTGGAGAGTCGGCACTCCCCACTAGCCCTCATTAGAGAACCTCGCAAGGTGTTGCTCCCCCTTAATCCGCGCAAGGACCAAGTGCTCTCTACGGGTTGATTCTTCACCACTCCAACACGGTGAATCACCCACAATCGCCACCGAGAGATCACCAAGACCCCAATCATCACTATGTTGTCTAGATTATGCCTATCACCAAGAATAACAAGGACAAACTCTCACTTGACATAACCAAGTCTAATGAGGAGAGTGGATGCGCACTTGTTACTCCCTAAGCACTAATGGAGTCTTTAATCTTTCAATTAGCAAATCCAAATCACTCCACTAGCCTTGAGCTCTCTCTTGGTCACCAATATGTGTATACAACTGATATGAATGGCAAGAACCATTATAAATAGCCCCCACTCCAAATACTAACAGTTCAGAATCCACTGGACTGAAAAGACACCACCGAAAAAGTCTGGTGTTCGTTTGAAGTGTGCACCAAACTAATCCGATGCCTATCCAACGGCTAAAATGAGACTAGTCGTTACTGTGTATGGCCTCGAAGCGCATTATTTGTTGTTGGCCACCGAACTAATCCGGTGAGCCAAAACCCTCTCTGGAGAGCTTCGAAAATCCTAGTGACCCCCCACCGGATAAATCCGGTGTGTCTAGGAGCTCTCTGCTCCCAAACTCTAAGCCCAATGACTGTAGCACTTGCTCTAATGCCTATCTTCTCTAGAGGACTAGAATAATAGGTGACACTATTCACCGAAGACCAAACAGTGAAACCATTACACATACCACATTCTTCGGTGCACCCCTGACAGGGGCATCGAATAAATCCTGTGCATGCAGAGAACCACCATTACCATCTAATTCAAACAACTTTGAGGATGACTAATTCCCATTGATCTTTGGGATTCCTTTGAGCTACCTAGTGTTAGGTTTGACAAGTGTGCACCACATCCACTTACTGACTCACCTAGGTCAATCTACTAGTTCATACCCTCTTTATAGTATGTCAAAGAAAAAATAAAGTGTTAAACTACTCTAAGTATCTCTCAACGTCAAATAGCACTTAGAGCTAGTCCATCCTTAACCTTTGTCGCTCATCTTTTGAAAACCAAACCAAAATCTACAAATAGGGGCATGAAAACCATTGATTGCCTATTAATCAGTCATCATTGACATAACTTATAATGCCTCAGCAAAACACACGTTAAGCACAATGATTGTGTCATCATTAATCGTCAAAAAGGGATTAGGAGCCTAGATGCTTTTAATATGGATGAAACAACGACCCTCAATGCATAGTTTCATTCTACCGTGTTTCATAAACATTTAATTTCATAACATGTCTATAGTTGGAAACCGAGTCAAGAGAGTTTTATTTACGTGAAACTTGCTTCTTAAAAACGTTACCATGTCATCGGAACTTATGTGTCAACTCATTAAATACAGATGAAAATTTCCACTAAAGCTGGCCTTAGAACGATGATATGGTCTACGGTAATATATACTTCGGTTTTAGTAATGGACAGAAATATATATTGCAAAATTAGATTTCTTAATGAATTTAGTTATGTCAATCTCTTGGGCTATCAATCTTTATAAAAATAGATTTTAAAACTCAGAGATAAAATGAGTTCGATTCAAGAAAATTTTAGATGGAGTTATATTTGTGATCGGAGGAAGTACGTCATGTTTGTATTGTTAAGCGTTCAGCTTTGGACAACACACAGTAATATTTTGAGGTTCCTAGATTTAAGCGTTATTCATCTATCAGAGGTTCAGGATCATCTACGAAGCGCCTCTGTTGATTTCTCGTCTATACCAATTCATTCATACAGGAAATGGTCGCAACGGAACATGCATAACCTGGTGGCAGAGGCTTCGAATTGCATTGGACTCAGCTCAAGGTACTTATTTATGAATGAGTATAAAATACACTAGTGCTTGTTCAATTTATCTGGACACTTTAACTATTAGGTTTGGCTGAGTGGAAGTTTCGATAGAGTTTCATTTTCATTTAATGACTTGTCACGTAAGTGTTTTTGATGATGTAGCAATGTTTTTAAGAAGAGAGAAGAAGTGAGCTTGATGAGGCTGAAACTATTTTGGGACGATTACCAACTCTTTGTGAGTCATAAATTAAATCTCTAGGAAACCATAAAATGAAACTTACGTGTTGCATCCCAGTTTTCATTCCATTCTATATGATATTACAGTTTTGAAAACAATGTGGTTCCTAAGAGATCCAAACCTTTTAACCTCCTCACTAAGACTTGCCTCAATTTGCAGTTTTTGTGTCAAAAGTGGTTCCTAAGAGATCCAAGCCTTTTAACCACTACTAATATGCTAAGTGGGGAGTGAATGTCCTAACTTTGCCACTTGTTACTGTCGCGCTAGCTTCACATGCCATTCAATGGATATAAAAGAAACTAGGGGACCACATAGCATCGATCCCCTAACATTGTCTTGTTCCTCAATTTTCATATGTTATGAAGGTCCAAGTCAGAATAGCATATCCTGCTAGCATCCACATCAAAGTTAAGGGACATTGGATTTGTTATCAGGGTCCTTGAACTATTCATTTGTAGGCTAGTGATACCGGAGTTTTGGTTTTGCTGGAAGCGCATTAACACTTGTGCTTGCAGGGTTGGAGTATATGCATAAGGGCTGCAACCCACCTCTCATTCATAGGGATGTGAAGGCGACTAACATTCTATTGAACGCGAAATTGGAGGCCAAGATTGCTGATTTCGGTTTCTCCAAGGTTTTCAATCTTGACAGTGAAGCTCATATAGCCACGAATAGTCTCGTTGGTACCCTCGGATATGTGGATCCAGAGTATGTATCCAATCTCTCAAATTTTTTCATTGTCCTCTCATGGTGAGCAATACACATGCTTTCATGCTTGCAACCTAAATTTCCATTCCAGATACCAAGCAACTATGCAGCCGACAAACAAGAGCGATGTTTATAGCTTTGGCGTTGTTGTGCTAGAGCTGGTCACAGGGAGGCAGCCCATCCTGTCTGATCCAGAGCCTACTAGCATCATCCAATGGGTACGGCGGCGCTTGGCACGCGGCAACATTGAGGATGTCGTGGACGCACGAATGCACGGCGAGTACGACGTCAACAGCGTGTGGAAGGCCGCGGACATCGCTCTCAAGTGCACCTTGCAGGTGTCGGCGCAACGGCCTACGATGACCGACGTGGTGGCGCAGTTGCAGGAATGCCTCGAGCTTGAGGAGAGGCGCCGCACCGGGGGTGGTGGCACAAGGGGCAACTTCTATAGCGGCAGCAGCGGCGACCCCAACTTCGGCTACGACGCGTACGCGACTGATAGACAGTCGACTGGTGTGACTGTGAGCCAGATCGGCACTGCATTCGAGGTGGAGCATAATTTTGGAAAGGTGCCAAGAATGGGCAGAGGCCCCGTTGCACGATAAGGCTGTTCCTTTCAATGACGTTATTTATGTCATCAAAGACGAAGGTTTGAATATACGTACAAAGATTCAGATGTTATAAGCGTAGGTGAAGATGTTATAATCGTTCGTCAGAAAAGAGTGCATGGACTTATTATGCTTTTCTGTAAGACTTTGGAATCATGATTGTAGCTAAAGTGCGTCTCCTAAGCCTTATATTTAGAGCATTTAATTTCTTCTAACGACAAACAAAAAATAGCTCTTCTATCTGTTAAAAAAACTAGGTAAATGCCCGTGTGTTGCAACGGAAACACATAATACCACGATAACATATGTATGAGCGTGTGTTACGCTGTTATCTAAAATAGATACCACAATCATAATGTTCCAATCAATATTACATAAGTCTTCACGAACGATAAATAGTTAAAATATAACTCTAAATTTGAATGCAAAACTAAAACATCAACTTCAATTGTCGCATCACTTCATGCCTACGATACGCGAAAGATAAGATTGCACTTCTTTAGGAATCAAGTGCTACGGAAAGATAATCATAACAAGTTTGTGTTTCACAATACATGTTTTAGAATCTATTCTACAATTAAGAATCTAATCTCTCAATAGTTTGACTAAAAGAACGTGCACGAATACCAAGCTGCAGTTGGTCACCAATCAATGATGACCCAAAAGATTTTCTAGTCCAAGATGCGGCGTCTGACTTCTTACAGCTGAAGCATGAAGATGGCTGAAGTTATAGTTAGAAGTATCCTACATATATGTTGTTTATTAATTTTTAAAGTTAAAGTACCATTTGATATCTAAAAAATATGTATCGACGTGTGATGCACTACCTCTTTTATGGAGTTAGAACATCTTTATATACGATATTCTTTGTGAATATATCATTTGTCGTTTTCTTCTTCCCCTTCCCTTTCCCTTTCCCTTTTTCCTTATTCACGTCCTTCTCAGCAGCCGGCACGGCTAGGATCCTAATGTTTGATCTTACCGTAGCTCTTGATAGCGCCACATACAATTGGCCGTGCAAGAACACTAATTCCGGTAAGTATACCCCGACGTTAGAGATAGTCTGCCCCCGCGACTTGTTAACGGTCACACCACTTTCTGGTTTCCACGGTTGCCTTGCTGGCTTTCTTGTGGCCCTGAAGCAGCTCTTGCCAAACCTTGAGCTTCCTATGTGCTTTTTCTAGAAAACAAAGCACATATGCATGCAAGCATCCCCATGGATATTTTTTATTTGCCTGCCAATATGCATGAGGTATAAATATAAATAAAAACTTCCTCTGTCTAACAACTTTTATTTATTCCATGTAGTGTTTTTCTTTTTCTTTTCCTTGAGGAGATTGCATTTGCATGTGGTATATACAGTAGCTGCTACTCGGGACCGGAAAAAGAACTCGAGACAAGTTCTGGATGCACAACTTAAACGTACCGAGATCGGGATAAATTGGAAACTGGACAAGTTTAGAAACCTAAATGTGCAATTTGTAAATTCCAGAACCTAGCAGAGTAGCCGATGAGAACCATGGACAAGTTTGATGACCGTCAGTGAAATTTACTTTTCTATAATTATTAGAACTGTTGGTTATTGTAGTACCATATGTATGTTAAGGTGTGACCTTATTAACCACGCCTAGGTGCTTTTAACGACTTACATTTTGGATTTGCAGCCGAGCAAGCTGTAGTTTAACCAAACTAAGGCCCTGTTTAGTTTCCCATGACTAAAATTTAGTTACTAAAACCAATGACTAAACTTTAGTCATCCCTGTTTGATTGCGCGGGCATGAGCAAGAGTAGTATATCAGTACATGCTTATGTACATTAGTTCTCGATTAGGATGAAAAGAGATTAAAAGGTTCATGTTAAATGTATATTCTATGTAAACACAAATATACTGGAGAAATAATGAAAGTTAGACAATATACAAAACTCAACGTTTCGGCACAAATATAAGAGGAGCAAGTAGTCTTGAAAAGCTGAAATCGTTTGATGAAGAATATAATTGTGTATTAAGGAAACATAACTAAATAATCTGTTAGCTCATTGCTTAGTCTGTGCCTCGGCCTGATACCAACGATTTACAAATCAAAAGCGAAACAATCTTAGTGTATAGGGATGGCAACGGGTTTTAGTGTATAGGGATGGCAACGGTGAGAAACCCGATGGGGGCAGAAGAACACACCCGCCCCCACCAGGGTTCAAACACCCCGTCACCCGTACCCGTCACCCGTGACGGGTCTCAAATTTACCCAGACCCGTCACTCGCGTGGGTAACGGGTACCCATCGGGTGACCCATCCCCATTTAACAATAACACAAGATCACAATTCACAAAGCTAACATCATCAAAAATTCAGAATGATCATGCAAGTATGCGGCGCAGGAAGCGGATGCAAACAGACGCGGAGACACCTGGGTTGCGGCACTGCTGAATGAGGAGGATTAATTGGAACGCTAGGGTTTTCTTCTCTATATACTGTTTAATGACTGGATGGACCTACGTGTCATACTCAAACGGGGGACCCATCGGGTAACGGGTTTGGGGTATACAAGAACGCACCCATACCCGCTTCACCCGATGGGTGAGGTAATCACCCAGTAACGTACCCGTGGGGGGCAAAATCCCCCAAACCCGTACCCTAATAGGGTTTTTACCCGCGGGTAAACGGGTCGCGGGTACCCGTTGCCATCCCTATTAGTGTATGAGCCGAGGGAACACAGTAGATGTGAACACATATTGAAGGCATGGTCAGCCACCATCACGCAAAGTCCTGTTATGTAAAGAAAAAAGAGCAGATTTAAGTGCGCAAAACAATAATATATTCTCAGGTCACGTATAGATAAATGAGCGAAAAGTGAAGTGTTAGGTTCCTGCACAGCACGGCAAGGAATGTGGCCTAGGATGTATTGAGCGTGAGCAAACAATTATTACTGACAAATGCTTGTTGGTTGAACAACAAAATTGCACGATGATGTGACATAGCACACTAAATGAAGATTATATTTAGCAAAACTAAGCAAATTGAGCAGGGTGATGGATTAGGCTGCTGAATGCAGTTCCATATTTTGCAGAACTGGCCAGTTGCCATGCAAAGGCCAACACATGAATATGTTGACCATAATGAGCAAGAAACACGAAATGGACATGGAGAATATATCACCCTTTGTATAGCGTTCATATTGCCATATCATTGCTCAATTTTTTCTACGATCTACTGCCAATCGTTGTAGAACCTAAATCTATATAAATAAATAATGAGGTGCATACAGATGATGAACAGGCAAAAGCAACAAAGGGATGGCACCCCATATAACCTTGTTGCTCTATAATCGGTGAGTAATTAGAAATTGAGACTACCGGCAGGACCGGCAGGACAACCATGAATTCAAATGGGAAGTGTGATAGTTAGAAAAAAAAGAACATTCATGTAAAGGGTAGATTTAGAATAGGTCAGACTAACAGACAAAAGGGAAACAGAACGAACCTTTTTTTTGGAGCGGTCTCTATTTGCAGACCATGAAGTAGACAACATGTGCCTTGCCTTCCTATGAGGCAAAAGAATAGCACACACGCATGGCCAAACGATGGTTAAGACATTTATTTATGTATATACATATGGGATACCATCACCACGTAGCACGCTAGATTTATTTTGTACCTATTTCAGGTGCAGCGAAAAAATCATTCTGTGATAAAATGTTTCATAGGCTAAACAGCATGTGATGGTTGCAGCGACCAAATATGTAAATAAATTCATAAAAATCACAGTGAAGTATGAAGCAGTGGGAAGCCATCAAAGAGTTATTGTGGACATTTTCATATGGAATATAACATCATGCAACTTTGCACTCTTTTATGGCTTTGGTAAATTATATTCTAAAATATCACTTCAATTGCATGTAAGTGTTAGGACTCCCGATGGAAAAGAGGTAACATGATTAAGGAAACTAATGACAAATCGTTTCATGCAGTAAATTAACCGAAATACAAAGTAGAAAACATAAGCTGTTTGCCACAAATCACCTGTCATACACATCATTGTCATACAGAACAAAGCCAAACTTGTGATTTTAATAGAAGAAAATAAAAGGGTTCAGTGTAAAGCAAGAATGTATCATTTTGTATGTGAGATGATCGGCACTTTGACTAAGAATAGAGGTTTCATGGATTTATGGTGGTAGTAATAGTAAAAGCCTGGTGACACTATGTAGGTAGGCAAGCTAATTAGTACAACAATTTAAGTATAATCTACAGATGAGGAGGTGGATATCAAAGGTCATTGTCAGGTTGTTAGCGCAAAATATTGCTGAAACTTTAGGCGTCCCACATAATATTAAAGGCCTCATGCAGATCAATCGCTTGTTAGGTGTTTGATGCAAAGTATTGCTGAAACTTCAGGCACCACACATACTATTAAAAGCCTAATGCAGATCAGTTGCAAAGTATTCGTAGCCTCAATACTATATATCAACGACTCTTAAATAATTAAGAAATATGGATGTCTCAATCATTATGGGAAAAAGTAATCGGTCAGTTAGAATGGTTGCATTAGGAAATAGAAGATTATACCCTTTGTACTGAGGCAATGAGCTAAAGGTTTTTTTGGGGTACCAAATCATAATGAACCTGGACAATGATCTGGATCGTTTCAACTGAAATGGCAATGATTGCCTTGCGTCAGTTGTCAACTACTACAGCAAACAATAGCCATGTAAAGGATTGGTACCAAACTAGAGTAAATAATCATGTGTAAAAGGATAAACTGATTCAGCAGTTCAGTGTCAAGGCTCACGAAAAACTGCAAGAAAAGAAGACTAAAGAACTGTGAACACGGGAAATAGCTGTGCTCTCCTTCTTCCAATATCTAAATGAGAAGAGGAGCAAGAGGCAGACAGCCGCTGGTGGGTGCCGACCAAGAGGGGGGCAAGTATTGCGGCACCAGCGCAGCGCAGCATGATGGAGAGGAACACTGAACGGCTCAGTACCTCATGGAGAGAAAGCGG